GTGTTCCAGCCGGCTGGCTCCAGTCCGTGACAGAGCCGTATGGAATTCCAGGGAATGGTGGCACGTGTGGCAGAGCGAGGCTGTGATTGAGAGTCAGAGGTCTCCCCCCCCCCCCCCCCCCCCTCTGTGTTTCTTACCTTCCAGCTCCTGATGAATGACATCAGCGAGGTTAGGCTCCTCCCCCCACCAGAAGATCCACAGCTCTTTGGCATCAGGCTTGATTTTGCGTCTCCACACACACAGCAGGTTTGCCTGCACGCAGCGCATGAAGCTGCGCAGGACCGGGTCGTCCTGGGCCGGCGCCGAGATCACCGGCCCGTATTCGCCGCTGCTGCGAAAGCTGTAGCAGCGCCATTTAATGCCCGTCAAGTCCGCCTGGAAGAAAAGAGAAAAGTCATCATCATCATCATCATCACGCTGTGATTCAAACATTGGTGTTTATGATATGTTCATTAAACATGAAGAGCGCATCAGAAAATATTTCATTTAAAAACGTTAAAAGTTTTTAAGTTTGGCAGTGGTGGCTTTGTGGTTGAGGAACCAAACTTGGGTCTGGAGGGTTTAAGGTTCGAGTCCACCAGCTGCCAAGGTGCTCTGAGCATGGCACCCTCGCCACACTCTGCTGCTATGGCAATTAAGCTGAATATCTGAGGGACGTCCGATATTAACTTTTTGCAGATATCCGATATGCAAATATTGTCCAAACGCTTAATTTACGATTCCGATATCAACCAATACCGATATAGGCCTGGTAATATTTCTTCAATTATCTGTATGAGTATGGCCAAATATCTTCAGGTAAATTGCTTGTAGAAAAATCTCAAGAAAACTGAAAAGCAAATAAAAAGTTTTCTGGCTAGCCACTATAAGACTGTTTAAAAAATAGCTAAAAATATATCCCAAAATGACTTTTAGTTATCTTTCAGTTAACTGAAAAGAAAACTGAAAGAAACACAGCAAAAGAAAAAAAAAAAAAGTACAAAAAGCAAGCTGGATGATGACTAAAACTTAGCGATAGCAACAACAACTCTTCCTGAATCTAAGTAATAGCAGCATATATTTGCTAACTTTTGCAAATACACTGACAAAATCATGTAAAAGCTAGTATCCAGATACACTGGACTCATTTAGAGTCTTTGGTGAAACTCTCCTCAGGCAGAAAGACAGTGATTTGATGATTAGCCGTCAGTTTAATTCATATTTTTATCTCCGGCTTGTTTACACCGACTGAATCCTTGTGTAAATGTTTAACTACATTAGACGTCTCTCTGTGAGTTGTGCCGTTACAACCTTATTTAACTGATAGCGTCGGTCAGAGCCGCTGTAAAGACACAATAAAATGTGTGTAAGTGTGGAGCGGAGAGGAGGTTCGAGAGTCACAGGCGGAGGCATTAAGGATGGCCTTGAGTGAAATACAGCAGAATGAATGACTACGGCAGAGACGGCATTGAAATACAGGTGGCTACAAAGAGCCGGAGAGACACCGGAGGAGGAAACGGTGTCGGCTGGATTCCAGCCCAACAACTGACTTCTCCATTTAATCTGATGAGATGAAAGGTGTGGGGTGGGTGCTGCCTGTGGCACGTATGGGCGTGGAGTCTGTTTACGGGAGCGAAGGAGCCACAGAAGGTAAACGACCACAGTGAAGAAAGGCGACCACACAGTCAGACGAAAACATGAAATGAAAACATCAGTGACCTGGTCCCGGTTCTAGAGTTCAGAGTAGAGAACGTAGATTTGGGAGGGTTCCTGTTAAGATCCAAGCTCTTTGATGTGAAACAGTTCTCTTTCCAACATCGTCTAAGGCAGGGGTGTCAAACTCATTGCCACTGGGGGGAGAAATCAGCCATACAGTTCCCCTTGCAGGGCATGTTGTAAATGGTAGACTGTATAGCTGTAACAATAACGTATTAATAAATGTTTCTGCAAATGATAATTATTTTTTCAAGTTACAAATATTGCTCATTGCTGTGAAATAAAAACAACTTTTAATCTATCAGGTTGAGAAACTCTGCTGCATGCAGTTTTTTAAGCTCTCACGGGCCACACAAAACGACTTGGCAGGCCACGTTTGGCCCCCGGGCCTTGAGTTTGACACGTGTTCTAGGGAATTGAATTGAATTTGAATTGAAATGAACTGAATAATGTATTAAGACATTGATTAAACACAACAGGTTACACATACAGTTAAATCCTGGTTCACAGAAGGCTGAGATACTGATCCACCAATAAGAGCATTTGGAACTGATGTAGTGAAAACAACATAAGGCACCAGGTTCTTACACGAACATCGTCTCCTCCAAGGGGGCCGAGTTCTAATTTGTTACAGTCTGAATTAATACTTCTATGAAACATGAAACAGAGTTGATGCTAACAAATTTTCCTAATCTTTTTGCTCAGGAATTCGTTCTTCTCGTAATTATTCTTTCTATGTTCCCTAATCTTTTTGCTCAGGAATTCGTTCATCATTAGTCATCTTTTTCTAATGAATCTTAATTATTCTTTCTATGTTTCTGCTTTCTGTTAAACACCTGCAACACTAAGGAACCCACTCCTCCAACCCTGTAGGTGGCAATATTATACCTAAAAGTTGTTTGCTAGTTGCACAGAGGGTGCAAATGAGGTAAGTAGTGACGTTAGCTCGCAAAAAGCTTTGGTGAACAGTGAGGGAAGACAACATCTTGCGTTGTCGCCACAGGCTCAAACACCAGAGCTAACATAATATACATAAATATACACAGAGTATTCACTATTCTGTGACTGTAGTAAAGTGATGGAAAAACGTACAGAGAAATGTGAAAATCAATTTGTTTGGTTTCAGTTAATTTGTTTGTCTATTCATTCCTTCAGTCGTCAAACAAAATTAATTTCGGAAGAAAAATGTGTTTGCTGCGACAAATATTACTCTTCGCTTAAAATGTCATTAATTTAGACGAATTAACTACCAAACCTTTTTAATTAATTGGATACATTTTTAATCATGTTTTCCCACCAGTCAAACATTTGATGACAACTGTGTGCTTGAAAAACTTTTTTTTGAAAATAGGGTGTGTGTGTGTGAGTGTGTGTGTTTCCAGCTGTGAGGAACACTTGTGGGACACTGACCCAGACAATAAGCTACCAGAGAGGAGACGAACTGGTGAGATGTTAAATTAATAGAGCGAGTTTACCACCACAACAACTAGAAAGTAGCTGTATGCAAAACAGTCAGGTAAAGTCAATTCTAGTTAGCTAGATGTTAGCTAACACCTTCCAGTATGTTGCGCTGCTCATACTTCTGAATTCAAGCTGATTGTTGGTTTACACTAGATATATATATGAGCTCATTTCTAGCTTATTAACTGCTAAGATGCTAATTAGCTTAGCAGGATGATTTTATATTACTTTGATTTCCAAATTTTGAGCTGTTTAACAATTTGGCTATGTTGTTGTGGCTACGTTTTCAATAAAATAGCATTCACTTTTAGTTCACTCTGTTAGTCCATGTGTTCAGGGACTAACTTTCAGTCATCGTATTTAGATTTTTGTTTGGTTTCTTTTCGCTATAATTTGGCTAACCCTAGCCTTCGCTTTTATTTTAGCATTTGTCTTGTTTCTTTTCAATAAGTTGCTGACTGTTTTCTTTCAATGAAGGCTAAATTTTAAGAAATTTAAAATACTATATGGCAGTGTCTTACTTTTATCCAACTTGAATCCTTTTAGCTATCATCGCTTATGTGGGCTAAGTATCTTACAGTGTTAGCTATGAGCTAACTTTGTTAGCCTTGTTACAGTAAATTTATTTTTATTATTTATTTTGGTTGTCTAAGCTATTATTCGAAGAGCTTTGATTTTAGTTTAAATACATATTTTAATAGTTTTCTTCTTTAATTAACACCAGTCCAGTGTGTTTTTCTCCTGTGTATGAAAGGCAATTACATTTGAGGTAACATCATCGACATGACAAAATATTTAGGTACTGCAGGCACTAGAGCACAGCATGGAGAGAATTATTTCAGAAGACTGAAAAAGATTCAAATCCATGTGAATTTTATATATTTTTTCAATTTTATTCCTGAACCTCATCTAATTGGTGACCTACGTCTAAAAACAGATCAGTTTACAAAAGGAAAAACAAAATCTCTGCAGCTCAGATGATGATGAAGAAAGGTACTTTTACGTGTGCATGGACATGTGACCTCAACAGAAACAGGTTTGTGCGCTAAAATATGAATCTGACTCTTTGAATTAAACATTTCCTGGAACACACTTGCTGCAAGATACAGTGGAAATCAAAAGCAAAGACAAAGACGGCGTGTCATGAGAGATATAAACATCAGTGCTGTGATAAAGCCCAGCCCTAAAATTAGCCATGACAAGGTCAAGGATGCAGTTTCTCCTAAAGCAAAGAGGAAGACATCTGCTCTCACTGCCTCATCACTCCCCGTCAATGTCAAGAGTTCCTGCAGTGTTTGACACAGCTGTCTGCTGCTGCTGCTGCTGCTGCTACTGAAGCAGGAGCCAAGAGGTGGAGGGACCAAGTGTCTTTTTTTATTTATAATTCATTCATTCTGGTTTCATGAAAGACCAACAGATACTGTATAAAGAAAACTCCAACTTTTTTTTTTCTAATATTTACTTTTTAGTGTATAAAGAAAACTCCAACTTTTTTTTCTCTAATATTTACTTTTTTCTGATCACAAAAAAATAGCAAACAACCATCAACACAGAGAGCTGTGCAGTACGAGTTGAAATGAGCCTTTCATATGCTGCGTGGAAACGTATTCTATAGATAAATGTTCCAGAGCACTTGGTATGATATTTTGAGCATTTTTGAGAGTAATATATCATCAACTCCCTCTATAGGCTATATATAATGTATAATGTCAAATGACAAACACTGACAAATACTCTTGGTTATTCAATGGGGATGGATGGATGGTTGGATGGATGATAGATGGATGGATGGATAGATAGATACTTGACGACCATACTTGATGAGACACGTCTTCAACAACCACCTGCATTTCCTGGTGACTAAATATCTGTGTCGTCTCTGGGCACAAACACAGGTGCGGTGAGAACAGCACTAACACAATACCCTGCTGGACTCCCGTGGTGCAGAGCTGCAACAGGAAGAGGAATTCACACACAAAATACTGCAGGAGCATGTGTGCAGTACACACGGTACTGCAGTAGAAAAATCAACATGCACATCAGACTTGCTCTAAAAACTCGGAGGTACATCAGGACACGGGTATATTTTGGAGCTTATGTCCAGTAATTTTTCACTGATGACAGCTAAGCAGTTGTTTCTGTCCTCTGTCTGCACACACACACACACACACACATCATCCATATTTATAGCTGCGTTTTACCGTGTGAGTTTCAGGGCT